AGTCTCTCTCCCTTTCTTTCTGGCCCTTTCCTGAGCACACTCTCTAAATACATACGTATGTATACATACATACTTACATACATAAAAGTGTACTATCTAATTGCAATGGAATTAAAGTAGAAATCAAGAAAGGATAGCTTGGAAATCTCACCTATTTCAAAATCAAACAACACACTTCTAAATAATCCATGGGTAAATGAAAAAGTCATAAGGGAAATTAGAAAATTATCTTGAACTGAATGAAAATGAATACACATATCAAAACTTGTGGTTTTATAAAACCATATAGCTAAAACAATGTTTAAAAGAAAAGAACATGTTAACTCCAAAGTAAGCCAAAGAAAGGAAATAACAAAGAGCAGAAATCAATGAAATTGAAAACAGAAAAATAACAGAGAAAATCAATGAAACCAAAAGTTGGTTCTTTGTAAGGATCAATAAAATGGATAAACCTATAGCCAAACTGATTAAGAACAAAAAGGTGAAGACACAAATTACCAATATTAAGAATGAAAGAGGGGCGCCTGGGTGGCTCAGTCAGTTGAGCATCCGACATCAGCTCAGGTTATAATCTCACTGTTCGTGAGTTTGAGCCCCACATCAGGCTTTGTGCTGACAGCTCAGACCCTAGAGCCTGCTTCTGATTCTGTGTCTCCCTCTTTTTCTGCCCCTCCCCCTCATGCTCTGTCTCTGTCTCTCTCTCTCAAAAATAAATAAAACATTAAAAAGTTTAAAAAAAGAATGAAAGAGAAGATATCACTAAAGGGCCTACAGCCAGTAAAGGGACAGTAAGGGAATATTACAAACAAATTCAGGCTGATAAATTCAACAAGCTGGATGAAATGAATAAATTCTTTGAAAGTCACAAATTACCAAACGTTCAAATTTTACCAAACACATGAAATTGATAGCCTGGATACCCCTATGTGTCTATTAAACAAATTAAATTTGTGGTTAAATCCTTCCCATAGAGAAAACTCAGATCCTGTGGCTTTATTGGTAAATTCTGCCAAATATTTAAAGATACTGTATCAATTCTATACAAACTTTTCCAGAAACTAGAAAATAAGTAGGTAAGACAGATTCCAAAAACAGACCTACACGCATACGGTCAATTAATTTTCAGTGAAGTTTCCAAGGTAATTCAATGGGAAGAAAGGAAAATCTCTTTTTAAAAATGGTGCTACGCCAATTGGGTAATCAAAAAAGAAAAAAAAGAAAGCCTTGGCTATTACCTCATGCCATGTAGAAAACTTAACTCAAAAGGGATAGATCTAAAAGTAAGAATTAATACCATAGGGGCGCCTGGGTGGCTCAATCGGTTAAGCGTCCGACTTCAACTCAGGTCATGATCTCACAGTTCGTGGGTTTGAGCCCCGTGTCAGGCTCTGTGCTGACAACTAGCTCAGAGCCTGGAGCCTGTTTCGGATTCTGTATCTCCCTCTCTCTCTGACCCTCCTCTGCTCACGCTGTCTCTCTCTCTCTCTCTCTCTCTCTCTCAGATATAAATAAAACATAAAACAAAAAAAAAGAATTAATACCATAAAACTTCAAGAAGAAAACAGGAGAAAATCCTTGTGGCCTTGGGTTAGGAATCATTATTCTTCACTTACAAATGAGGAATCAGGCAAAGACAGGATAAGGAGCTTGCTGAGGCCACATAACTAGTCAGGCGGCAGAACTAGTCTTCAAACTCTCACATTCATGTACTTGACCGGCAAGGGTTGTGGGGCTTTGTGTGGAAATGAATGAAAATGTCCAGGATGTTTCCCTTTTCCTTCACTTCTGTCCTGGGCATAGAAGAAGCATGCAACTCCCTCCCAGGGACACATAACTTCCCTCGGCCCGGATGTGAGCACTGAGGTCCACCACATACACACCACTGCTTTCCACAGTCCTGGGCAGAACTGCAGCCCTTGAACCCAGCCTGTGCTCTCCCACCTCCAAACCTGCACTAATAACGTTCTCATCTCTGCAAGCCCACTTCCTGCTCATCCCCCAAGGATGCTTCCACCTCTTGAGGAAGCCCTCCTTGATGCTCTCAGCCTTCAGGTCTATCCACCCCCCACCCCCCACCCCCGGGCGCTTCAGGACTTTCTTGTGCCTTTGTTAGTCTTTATCTCCCCTCCAGAAAGTAGGATTCTTGAGGGCGGGTCCCATGTCTGAGTCATCTTTGTACCTCCCGGCGCAGCACCTGCTCCAGGCCGTCCAATGAATGAATGTATCTTGAGAAGCCATCACAAGTAGGGAGTTTTGGTTGTTGTATCTCCTTAGAGGGTGAGGCCACCACTCCACCCTTAAGAATGTGGAAAGGGCTCTTCTTTCATCCTTGCTCTCTGTTCAGAGCCAGGCAGGCTTCGGGCACGGGTCATCCCCTCTGTGCGAACCCCCTCTTCTCCCTAATGCTGATGCGGCAGTCTGAGCTGAAGCTCTGTGCTCCCCACAATGCAGGACCCACAGCAAAAAAGCACTTAGGAGAACAGTTCATATAGGCTGAAGTGTTCAGCCCTGCCTCCTTGTTTCTAAGAACTTCTTTCTTTGCCCATGGCCCCAGGTTGGCCTGCTGTGGTGGCAAGACAAAGATGGCAAGGAAAACCCCAAGGAATGTGGCTCTTGTAGGTTTCCCCGGTGCGGGCAAGAGTGAACCACGGCTTATACACAGTTATCTGGTCTACCCCCTGCCTCTGGGGGATGCTCATGGTCTATTTTGGGTGGACAATGATTTCTTGAATCTGGAAAGCTTTCCCTGGGTCACATATTCCCACATCCACCCTTCTCCGTCCCTCCTTGTGGCTTGTGCTCCTTCCTTCCTGCATCTGACCTGCAGTTGGGTATGAGGGGAGGCAGGGGAAAGGCAGAAGCCTGGATCCCAGCCGGGGGAGCGAAGAGCTGACTGTGCCAGGCCACTGGCCAGGCCTCGGAGCTGACACCTTGGGACAGAGTGGGGCTCAGCCTTCCCAGGGCCCCCTCCTTCTTTCTCATCGCTGGAAACTCTGGAGTACTTTCTGGGAGCCCAGGAGGTTCAGGGGCCATGGTTTGGGGGTGGAGGAGAATAAGAGTTTCCGGTGGGAGGCCACAAAGAGGTCCTTCCCTGGAAAGGGAGGCCTCCCGGCCTGTCTGTGACACAGAGTGGAGAAGGTGAGGAGGGGCCCACACAGCACTGCATGAGAGCCACAATCCCATGCACTTGATGGTCACTCTCAGTGCCTTCTCATGGGGCCCACAGATCACAGCCTGGAGTAGGATCTTCCCCAGCCCAGACTCTTTCGGGCGCCTGGGAGGGACAGGCAAAGAGCAGTCCTAGGCATACTGGCTCTGTGTTTCCCACACTGTAACACCCAGGAAAGCCCCTTGCTCTGTTGCTCATAGGAGTTTTGCAGACAGAGGAGAGTGGGAGACATGGGCGAGGAGTGAGGGAGATCTCTCTACTATGCAGACCCTCCCACTCTTCTCTGCTTTCCAGAGGCCCTTGGAAGCCACTGTGCAGGCCTGGGCTACAGGAGGTCAATCCTGACCCAATGCTCCCCTTGAGCCAGAACCCCCACCCCCCCGCCCCATCCTCCCAGCTGGAGCCTGGAGTGAAGGCTCTGCATTGGGAAGAGCCAATCTTCCCTCCACCATGCCAACCCCATGTGAACATGCAAACAATAGGCTTGTATTAGCTTAATGTTTTAATGATGAAGAATACAGAAGGCACTCCCTCCACACATGCCCTGTGCGCCCTGGACCTCACCCAGGTCCTCTGACCCCCTCTTTCTTCCTCCCTGTGTTCACAACAGGCCCAGCTCTTCCCTCCAGGACCCCAGTTCAGGAAAACAAGGACTTGGCCTCCATCTTGCAGACAGGGTCTCTCTGGATGTCCCGAAGTAGAGAAGAAAGAAGCCCACATAATGAGGGTGAAGGAGGTTCACTGTCATCTGCTCAGGGACTTGGCTTGGGGTCAAGAGGCTGAATGCTCCCCCCTTTCTCCTCTCTCTTCCCCAAGGACTCCATGGCCTTTTGGTGGAACATCCCCAGAAGTCCCCTCACTCTGTCTCCCTCCGGCTCTTGCCACTACCAGTGTCCTCCACCCTTTAGGACGGGCTCTCTGGGCCAGTGTAGACGTTAAGAGCGAAGTTTCAGGAGTCAGTCATCATCCCATGGCTGTGGGGCCAGACAGGGCCATCCCAGGGTGAGGTGGGACTAGGAGCTAGATTCTGCAAGACAAAGAGACCAGGATATTCTGGTTGGTCCTGAAGGAGCAGCTGCCGCTGTCCCTCCCACCCTTTTTACTTGGTGAAGGTCACACAAGACCAAGGTCAGGCCCAAGGGCTCGGCCATCAGGGGCCATGGGTTCAAATGCAGAGACGCCACATATTCTCTGAGCTTGGGCAAACTCCCTCCCTGGCAACCATCTCCAAACACCTTTTTGAAAAGTCTTTTCAGGACTAGCTGTGTGCACACGCGGGGGCGCTTTGAGAGTGGCTTCCCAAGGGCCATGGCAAAGACGCCACAGAGACAAAAGACACGCTGGTTCAGGGCTGAAAGGGCTATTTTTGCGCAAAGGTTGATTCTGAATCATGAAAAATGTTTAGGAGTTACTTGTTGTTTTCCTATTCAAAATAGAAGACGTTTAAGTACTCTTCAGGAAAAATATCTCCTTATTAACATATATCATTTGCTTTGCTGAGAAGGAGACTACCAATAAGGAAATCAGTGAGGGAGGCTTTTTGGACTTAATGTCTGTATCTGGGCAAATTTACAAAGATGCAACGTAAGAGGCAGAAGAAGCCTTTTTCTCTCTTGGCTGGAGATGTGTTGCAAGGCCACACTGGGAAGCTGGGGTGGGTGGTACACAGTCCCCTAAGCCAAGAGCTGGTTGTCAATGATCTAGGTCAATGCTGCATTTTGCAGATGGGCAAATCAAGGCCCTGGACGGCCAGTGATGGCCAGCTTAAGTCACAGAGAGCCTGGAGAGCCAGGGCGGTTAGAAGATCCTGGTATCCTGACCTCCAGCCCAATCACTCTTGAGGGGCCAGGGAGGGCTCCTGGAAGACAGGCAAGTGGCTGCTCTGACTCTCCTTCCCTTCCCCCTCACCAGCTTGGCCTTCTACCAGGGTGGGACCTTTACCTATGACGATGAGGGTGCCGGTGGTGACAGCCTGGCCCAGCGCATTCTCAGCCACTGCCTTGTACTGGCCGCTGTCCTTGGGGGAGACGCTGGGGATGATGAGGGAGCACACGCCTTGCACATCAGTGCTATACACTTCAGGGTTTCCCGCCAGGCTCTGGTCGTCCTTGAACCAGGTGACACTGGGCCGGGGCGAGCCCTGCACGGCACAGCTCATGCAGCACTCGCAGCCCTCGGGCAGCAAGTGGGTCCGCAAGCCCACTAGGAACCGGGGCTTCTGGCTCAGGTCAGGCTCCCGGTAGCTTGGAGCCTTCACCGTTAACCTGTTTTCTGTGGCAAAAACCAAGGCAAGAGAGAGAGAAGGGTCAGCAAGCAAGGAAGGAGAGACTGCGGCGTGAGTCAGTTGGAACGTAGGCATTTCCTTGGTCCTTCTGCACATGTTACCTGCAGATTTGGCCCCCACGGCTTGACTCACTTTTTTTTTTTTTTTTTACCATTTTCTTAAAATACATTTTGAATTTCTTTTTTCACTACAAGCTAATACATGTTCACTGTGGACAAACTAGAACATATAGAAGGTCAAAAGGGAAAGAATAAAAACCAAGTATGATTTCACTGCCTTTCAATGATCAGAGCTAACATTTTGGTGTGGAACCTTCCAGATGATTTTGTGTTTTAGAAATATGGAATCATGCATTTGTTTTCATAATTGCTTTTTCTAGTAACTACTTTGAAGGCCCACGTCTCGTAAACTATAAAACATACTTGGTTTTCAAAGAAAGTCTCTTTGCTGTATTGCCTGCGGCTGATTTGAGACCCCACCCAAAGGCATCCTGGACATGTGGATGCCTCTGTTCTCTCTGGACCCACCCCAAGTCAAGGACACAGAGGCCAGCAGAGGTTGAGCAAGGTGTGGAGGGAGAAGGTTTGGAGGCAGGGAGGTGGGGTGGAGGGCAGGGCAACACCTCCTGCCACCAGCTAGTCCTGTGGCCAGAGATACACTGAGCGGTGCTTGGCCACCGCTCGGCCACATGCTCGGCCACCGCTGTCAGGGCTGCCTTCCCCCTCCCCTCAGCCCCCCAGCGGCAGCCTGCATCCCCGAGAGCTCACCTCGCTGCCGGGGGATGCACCAGGGCTGGCTGGTGTCCGATGGCTGGCTGGCCCCCAGCTCGTTCTTGGCCACCACCCGGAAGTGGTACTCATGGCCAGGGAGCACACCCAGGAGGGTGAAGTGGTTGGTGTGCACGTGGTCGGCCACCTGGCGCCAGGGCCCGTGTGCTGAGGAGCGTGTCAGCACCTCGTAGTGCAGGGGGACATCCCCGGCCTCATCTGGAGAAGGCTCCCACTCAGCCGTCACGGTCCCAAGCACGTTCTCCTGCAGGCGGATGGGCCCGGGTGCCTTCGGGCACGCTGCACAAGAAAGCAAAGGGAGCTGAGTTCTGGGGGTACTGAGCAGGGGTCCCCCTGGCCTCAGCGTGGTCCACCCCGGGGTCTCCAAGTCTTCCGAGGTCCTGGGGAATGCAGTCTTGCTATGCAGGCAGCTGGGGCCAGAGAGAGCTCAGCCGGGGCTCGGCAGCCATCCCCAGAGAGTAGGAAACCTCTCTAACCAGAGTTATTTGAATTCACGCTGGCTTATAAGTAAAATGACACAGGATGTGGACAATGGAGGGGCTTCCACGAGACCAAGCTGCGGAGCCCCCATCGTTAGCTATTGGTCATTTCCGAATTCTAGAAGCTGCTCCAGGGAGGGCGGGGGCTATGCGGGAGTCCCTGTGGCGGGGGGCACCATTTATCGTGTGCAAGGGCCACGGACAATCCTTCCAAGGCTCTCTCAGCTGAGGCAATGGCGCTGACTGTCTTCGCTCTCTGACTCAAAATGAAGAACAACAGTGAAGGGCTGTGGCTTAACTGTCCCCAAGTTCCTGAGACAGAACAAAGGACCCCCCCCCCGCCCCACCCCAGACTCTCCTTCTGCCTTTTCTCCTTTCTTCAGGCTCTTAGGAACGGCTGGCGGTGTGGTCACCTTGGATTCCCCGGCGTGGGAGAGGAGCTGAGACCCGTGACTAGACCGGGTGGAGAGCTCCATGCCTTGGTGAGTCCACGGACCCTGCCCAGGCCTGTCTCACCTGCCACCCTGAGGGGGAAGCTATAGGTGGCCTCCTGGCCCTGCAGGCTCCTCAGCACCACAGTGTAGATGCCGCTGTCTGAGAGGCTGGCCACAGGAATCAGAAGCTGGGTGAGGCCATCCTTGGTGGAGGTCACATTTCTTTTAGGCAAAGGCAAGCCATCCTTCAGCCAAGTCACCTCAGGCATGGGGGCAGCCTGGGAAAGGAGAGGAAAAGAAAATCAGGAGGGGAGGTTTTGTGGAAGTGATGGTACTTAAGCTGAGTCTAAGGGGAGAAGAACATTCTCAGAGGAGAAATGTCTGGGCAAAATCACAAGAGGTGGGAAGTGCCTATTTAGGGAGGGGTTGGTTGAGAGGGCGTGGCACAGGCGGGTATGGTAGGGGGTTGTGGGCTAGTGTGGACGCAAGGCAGGGAGCATAAGGCAAATCCCCAAGTGCCCGTGAGACCCTCTGGATCCGGACACACTCGGCACACATCAGAGTCAAATGGGGATGCAAACAGTAAGGTACCTCATGGGGCTGTCCTGAGGATGGGAGAAGTGAATCACACATGGAAGCATGGAGAACAGGGCCAAGGAACACTCAGTGCTAAACACTTAGAGTGCGCTAAGTATTTTTGTCACCATCATGTCCTTATTATGGTCTGCTAGTTAAGGACATGTAATTTAGCGTTATATCTGGGTTTGAGTCTGGCTCTGCCATGTACGAATTCCCACACAGATGATGACTATGACGCAGATGATGACGATGACAATAATGATTTTTTTAAAGTTTTTAAAAATTTAATTATAGGGGCGCCTGGGTGGCTCAGTCGGTTAAGCGTCTGACTTCGGCTCAGGTAATGATCTCACAGTTCGTGGGTTTGAGCCCCATGTCAGGCTCTGTGCTGACAGCTCAGAGCCTGGAGCCTGATTCAGATTCTGTGTCTCCCTCTTTCTGCCCCTCCCCTGCTCATGCTATCTCTCTCTCTCTCTCTCAGAAATAAATTTCTTAAAAAACATTAAAAAGTTTTTAAAAATAAAAATTTAATTATAGAGAGAGTGCAAGTGGGGTGGGGGGGAGAGAGAGAGAGAGAGAGAGAGAGAGAGAGAGAGAATCCCAAGTAGACTCCACACTAACAGCCCGCATTGGGCTCCAACTCTTGAACCAAGAGATCATGACCTGAGTCTATATTGGATCCTTAACTGATTGAGCCACCCAGGTGCTCTGACAATGGTGATTTTAATAGTAATCATCATCATCATCATCATTACGAATAGATAACACACACAGGGCACTTGCCAGGTACTGCTTATGTGCTTTCAATGTATTAATTCCTTGAATCCTTAGAAAAATCCTTTGACATAAGTTACTATTATCCTCATTTGACAGATGAGGAGGTTGGAACACAGAGAGGTTAAGATTTTTGTTCAAAGCCAAAGAGCTAGTGAGTAATGATGCTAGAATCGTGCTTCTAGCCACCACACTCTAGTGCTACATTATACACACGGAGACGGGTGGTGTTGGTTAAGGACAAACCCGACTCAAATGCAGGCCATGCTTGTACAATACCCATTCTAAAGTCAAAAGGGATTATCCACCCTCAGGCCCCTGAATTCCCAGACTGAGTAAGGAGAGGGGGAGAAAAGTGGACACCATAGTTTAGAGGTGCAGTGACAGAAGCTACCACTAGAGGGACCTGTAGACAAAAGCAGAGTGGTCACCCGGTGGCCAGGTGAGGGTTGTGCCTTCAAAGAGGACCCGCTTCCTTCCTCACTTCTGGCCTGATTTCCAGCACAAGCCCCGACCACTGACTGGGGACCAAAAAGGAGGGTGGTGGGGTGGAGAGAACCACAGGGCTGAATCTGGCTCCCTGCTCTGGGCTCCCCTCCCCAGTCCCCATTAAATACACTCACTTCAAAGGAAACAGGCACGCGAATGGTGTCCCCAGCTCTGACCATCAGCAAGTCCTTTGTGCTGGAATCCATGAGGAACTTGGGATAGACTGAAACACACAAGATGGCCTGTCACCTCCCTCCGCACTCGGGCCCCATCTCCAGGTCTCTAACAAGGCAGAGCCAGAGGGGGAAGTCTGGGCCAGACTGATGCAGAGATTCATAGTGGACAGGAGAGGCTCTGAAGGAAAGGGATAGGGAGCCGGGAGGGGACTCCCAGGGGCAGAGGGGAGCCGCAGGAGGTGGTGGGGAGCTGAGAAAGGGAAGCCACCAGGGAGAGGGCTGGGCCAGAACAGAGGAGGACAGTGAAAAAGTAATCCAACTCTTGTTTCATGGAGGAGATAGAGAAACACTGATCTGAGGTCAGAAGTGACAGGCTTGAGACCACACCGAGCTGGAGGCAGAGCCAGGACAAATTTCCAGAACTCTGCACTCTGGGTCCACGTGCTATTCATTGTACTTGTCTCTCCCTTATCATCACTATGACAACTGCTGGGATGGCCCAGGTCAGCTTGGGTCAAAGACAAGTCAGCTGCTTCCAGCGATTAAATCCAAAGGAAAAGATCCACCTTCTGATAACAGGGAGCTGTATGTCTTCTACTCTGAACGTGAACCCTGAGTACTGAGTACCACTTATGCCTTCTTAGGTCATGCTTGGGAAGCAGCAAAGATCCTGGAGAGAGCCTGGACTTTGGAGTCCGAGTCCCCTGGTTTAAATCCTGGCTCTGCTCCATACCAGTGGTATGACCCTGGGCAAAGTGCCTTTGACCTCAGGTTCCTTATCTGTAAATTGGGGGTAAAAATATTAACCCTGTAGGATTTTTACCAGTTGTAATAAGAAAACATTTGTGAACGGGCCTGCCTAGCCCAGTGCCTGGCTCATAACAAATGCTTGATAAACAGCCCTTCATTAAACTGGGGAAGGGGTCCCTGGCTCAGCAAGTGCATGGGCATGGCTCAGAGGCCCTCTCAGGAAGGGCGTGCAGGAAGAGGGAGGGGGTGGCACTCACCGGTAACAGGCATGGCTCGCACTAATGTGTCCAGGGCTGTGGGCTGGCCGTGGCCCCCGTCATTAACTGCTGTCACCCTCACGAAATAGCCCTCTTGGGGCCGAAGCCCTCTGGCTGTGAAGGTGGTGACTGGCACGGTGTCTGCATGGCACGGGCTCCATTGCAGACTGTCTGGGTCACGCAGCTCTACCACATATCCCTGGGCTTCATCCCCATCCTGAGCATCCGGCGGGGCCCAGCTCAAGGTGATGCTGGTGTTCGATGTATCTGTGACCCGGAGATCCCTCACAGGCCCGGGGAGTCCTGGCCAGGGACCATGAGAATGTCAGGAATGGCATCACCCTCTCTTGAGGGAGGCCATTCAGTGTGGATATTCCTTAGTTTTCATGTGGGAGGCTGGGCATTTGTTTCACTTTAGGATTCTGCCCCTAGACTTCCCTAGAGCACGTCCCTGGAACCACATCTTTGCTCTATTCTATTCTGTGACTCAGCTATGCACCACAGACCCCAGGTCACTGGCTCTAGCAAGGTACTCCCAACTCAGTCCACTCCTCCACCCACCTGCCAACCCACTTCCCCTAACTTCCTTTCTGTACTTCCTGAAATCTGGTATTTTTGTCAGTGACTTCTTGGGCTCCAAGATCCCCAAAGACTAGAATTCTATATCTTTTGGTTCTGAGCTCTAAGTTAGTCAAGATCGCTTTTTGGACACTCAGTCCATACTTATTCTCCACCTGTTAAATGAAAAGGATTGTAACATGGATCCTACCCACCCCCGACAGGAACTCGGGAACAAAGGTGTGATGTGTATAAGGGGCTTTGTGAATTGCACAGCAGTCTCTGGGACCTGGTTGCCGCTGGAATCAGTAACGGAGCCTTAAGAACATTGGTACCTAGATCCCACCCCAGATATGTGGATTTCATTCGGCTGGGGTGCAGCCCAGGCAGCAGGATTTTTGAGAGGTGTCCAGGCATTTCTAGATCTGGGCTAGGGCAGTGCTTCTTTAACTTTAATTTGTTTACAAACCGCCTGGGGATTTGATTAAGACTACAGGTCTTAATTCAGCAGCCTGGGGGAGGGCCGAGATTCCTATTCCTAGCAAGCCCCCAGGCAATGCTGCTGGACCATGGACCGTGCTTAGTAGCAAGGGTCTAGGACAGGTAGTGACTGGGGTGGCTAATGTGGGGCACTGCTAATGCACTTGCTGTCTCCATTCCTATCAGTGATGAGAGAGGGAGAGAGATGGATAAACTAGGACCCGGTTGGTCCACATGCGAGGAGTAAAATGCATGTGTCATCTTCCCCCTGTCATTCCCCTCTTCCCCCTCAATTCCACACTCTGCCTTTTCTAGGACTAAAACTTAGATGTCGCTTGAGCCATTAAACTTGTACAATGTTCTATTCCTGCTGGATTCGTTTCAACAGCCCTGACTCGGACAGCATATGCCCCATGGGGATACAAAGGTGCTCTGAAGGTGTTGACCACCTGACCAATCTAGCAGGTGCCAGAAATGTGCCACTCCCTCCATGGCTTGTCGTTAGCAGGCTCATAAGGGGATAAGAGGCTCATAAGAGGTGTACACAGGAGTGTTTCCAAGCTGTATGTCTTGGGCTAAGGTTTTTGATGGGCGTTTTGTGGAAAAGGTATTCTCTACTCATATTTGGGAAATTTGGCTCAAACTAGAACAGGACCCTTTGCTGTAGGACTTGGAAATATCATAGGCTAGAGGTTATAAACATCTGTTGTTGTTGTTGTTCTAAACATCTTTGATCCCAGAACTTTTTGGCTGTCTGTGTTGCCCTCAAAATGCCTAGTGACATCTCTCTGTACCTGGAGCTCTGAAATCACGGACAGAGAAATGCTGCTCTAGGCTGAATGTTTCTCAAGGGCAGGGACCAGGATTTATTCACCTAGTTCTGGGCACAGTGTGAGCCACCTTGAAGGGCAAGTATCTGCTGTTTAGAGTCAATGGTGAGATTCCACTGTGACCTCCCACCTGCTCCACAGAGATGACAACCCCTCACTGGGGTGGGTGGATGGTTACAGCACTGGAAGGGGTGGGCCAGCTTGAGAACTGACCTGCTCAGAACCTGAAGAGTGAGCCAAGTGATCTCAGGAAGGGATTCTTCTAATCCCCGCTGCCTAGTGTCTGGGCCTGTTTGATCTCAACTTGGGGGCTTATGTCTCCCCCAGGACCCTGATATGCCTCACCCCAGAGACCTTTTGACTTTTGTCTTCCAGCCTTCCTGACCATTTCCTTCAGGACTGGCCTTGACCTACGGCCCTGGTCCTGTCCCACGGGCTTCAGAGCCCCTGCTCATCACCACCACCACCCCCAACCTGGGGTGGCACTCTACTTACTCATGGGGTCCCGAGCAAAGACAGCATCTGAGGGGGGTCCAGGTTCTCCAGGGCCAGAGGGAGCCACAGCTGTGACCCGGAACTCATACTGACATCCCTGCCGCACGTCCACCACGGTCCACTTCCTGTCTGTGAAGAGTCCACCCCACATTAGTCCCACCCTCACAGGACAAGGTGATGGGGACACAGATGGCTTGGCGCTACCAAGCTCTGGAAAAGACCAAACCTACGGCCCTAGCACATTCCTCCTCTCCAGCCGGCCAGTTACGGTGACTCGGTTCTCTCCAAGGTGAAAAGAACACCGCTCAGGGGGTCAGAGGCCTTAATCCTTGTCTGGGTCTATGACTAACTTGCTGGGTGGTCTTGGACAAGTGCCTTAATCTCTCTGGTTCCCTCTGCCTTACAGAGTTATAGATGTTGTTATAAATATACATATTTATAAATCAGATAGAATAACTAAATAGTGAAGTTGGAAGAGTGCTCTTAGTTCACGACCCTTTCTCCAGAGATGAGGACACTGAGGCCCTAAAAGACCTTAGCTCCTAAATGGCCCAGCCCTGGTTAGACACCCGGTCTCCGGATCATCTGCTTGGTGCCTGGAACCTGTCCTTTCTCTTGCCAACGTTGGCTTGGACTTTTCTGAGTTCTTTCTGATCTCAGAAAGCAGTTTCTTGGAAACCGTAGGGAAGTTAATAGGACAGCAGATACTTCTCCCCATCTTACGGATGAGGAAGGTAAGATCTAGAGAAAAAAGTGCATTGCCTGAGGTCAAGGCCAGAAGGAAAGGGGTCAGTGCTAACAGCTCCATCTCTGGCTTCCATCCTGAGACTTCCAGTAAACCAGGGTCTCCTAACCTTGGCACTACTGACATTTGTAGCCAGGTAGTTCTTTGTTTGGGGATGTGGGGAGAGGAGAGGGGTGTGGCCCTGTGTATCGTATAATGTTTAGCAGCGTCTCTGGCCTCTACCCCCACCTTCCCTCACTTCACTTATGACAACCCAAAGTTGCCAGACAATTGCCAAATGTCCCCAGGGGGCAAAACCACCCCAAGCGAGACCCACTGTGCTAAAGGGATCTGGCATGGTGATGCCACAGGACCCTGGAGCCTGGAGGTCATGTAGGGGGACTTTGGGCCAGGATAACGCAGAGCATCCATTCCAGCCCACTCACCAGGTACAGGCTGCGCATTTACTGCTGTCCAGGTGTTACTCCCCTTCTTGCGCTTCTCGATCAGGTAGCCCAGGATGTGGGCACTGCCGGGGCCCCGAGGTGCCGACCACGTCAGTGTGATGCCCTTACTGGAGGCCGACTGGATGATTGGGGTGGAAGGGGGCCCGGGGAGAGCTGGGGGCAGAGAAGGCACAGGTCAGCCAGAGGATGAGGAAAGGTGCCAGCTCACAGCGAGGCCGTGGGGGCCACACTCTGCCCTTTCCTAGGGAGTGCCGGAGGGCTGAGCCAGCCTGCCTAAGGACACTGTTCTGGCTGTGGCCTGGGAGCCTAGAGGCAGCCCTGAGGCCCCTCAGCTTCAAGTCCCCTCTGAATGGAGGGCATCTGATGGAGACTGGTGCTTGCCCCACCCAGGCTCCTCGGAAAGCAGGCTCTGCTTGTCCACCCCTGCTCCCAGAGAGCCAGGGCTTGGAGAAGACCCCATAAATCTTGCTTCCTGATCGCCCACCTGATCCCAAATGAAGCTGACGTAAGGAGTCTCAACAGTGCTCTAGAAGGGCCTCAATACCCCCCCCCCCCAGCGTCCCTTAGTGTCTGGGGCAGCCCTGCCTACCCTCTGGGCACAGTGATGAACCCGGGAGCATTAGCGCCTAGCCCACCCTCTTACCTGCGGGAGCCACCAGCACCTCTGTGGACTCCAGGGCCTCCCCAGGCCCCTCAGAGGTCACAGCCCGCACCCGGAAGGTGTATTTCTTGCCCTGCTCCACGTGGGCATCAGTGAAGGTGGTGCTGTCTGCGGGGGGCTCGCCCACCTTCAGCCAAGTGCTCCTGCCAGCCTGCTGCCTCTCCACCACGTAGCGTTCCAAGGCCCGGCCCCCATCGTCCTGTGGGGGCCGCCAGTGGAGGCAGACACCAGCCCCCTGGCAATACTGTACCTTCAGGGGACCTTGTGGGGGCTGGGGCTTGTCTGGGGTCCCACCGAGAGGAGCAGGAAGAGAAACGGGGGTCAAAGAAGCTGGAGGGGAGTGGCGCTAGACTGCCCCCCTCATCAGCCAATAAGCCTGCAATGGGCTAGCATGTCCAGAGAGCCTTGGGCGTTACCTGGAGGGCTCCCTGGTCTCCACCCCCCAGCACACACACACAGACCCACTGAGGTGACCTGGAATGCTCCACTGTGGCTGCCCTTGCTCAGTGCTAATTTGCTGCCGCCACTCAGGACTGGGGGCCACCATCCCACCCCAGCAATTCCCTGGGGGCCAGCTGTGTTCGCTCCCGAGAAGCACAGCCAGCGGGAGGCCAGCCCTCTGTCTACACTGCTTCTTTCTGACCAGTCTGAGAAGGGGAGAGAGGACATGGTGGAGTAGGCTTGGATCTTAAACAGCATGCAAATGAGGATCCGAGCCAGGGGACCACACTTCGGGCCTGCTCCTACTGGCAGGGGGGTCCCAGAAGCCCGGGGCCCTCGGGCCTTGGCTGGGGAGAAGGCTGGGGCTGGCACCTATAACTTGCAGGGTGAGCTCGGCCTGGACAGAGCCTCCCTCGCTCGTCAGCGTCACGCTGTAGTGGCCACCGTCCTTCCTGCCAGCGCTAGGGAGGCACAGCCGAGTGAAGCCGTCCCCCAGGGCCACCTGGGCCTCCCGGCTGCCACCGCCCACCACCTCGGCTCCGTCCTTTTTCCAGGCAGCCTGAACCGGGAGGTGGCTCTTGAAGGGGATCTTCACTGTCACCGGCTTCCCAGCCTTGACCACCAGTGGCTCTCTCAGTTTCTCTGTCACATCTGGAGCGATGACAGGGCGATCTAGAGATACAACAGGGCAAGGGAGTCAAAGGCAGCCAGGGCACTGTGCACCTGGGGGTGGGGAGGGGGGCAGGGAGGGGGAAGGAGGGCCCAGAGAAGGAGATGTGAGCTGAGAGTGAAGACTGCCCCCAAGAGGACTAACAAGGGGATGAATGGGCTTTGTCTGCAGCAGGAGGGACTAAGATTAGACCTCCCCAAGGACTTCCTGACAGAGAGTAGGGAGACTGTGGGTTGGCTTTTTAAAATCACCTTCTCAGACTAAGGATGTGATTTGGTACTGGCTGCAGACTAGCCCCACAGTCAGGTGTTTAGAGGTGGAGCGTGCTACCTGGCACAAAGAGACCGCTGAGCAGGGCAGGGTAGGGCTGAGCCTCACCATGGACGCTCAGGGTGGCCTCACTCTGCTGGTTGCCGGCTACAAAGGTGTACCTCCCAGCCTGGGTCCCCTGCACGTGGGCAATGAGGAGACTGTGCATGAGACCGTCTTGCTCAAAGGTGACTCCATCCTGGGCGCTGAGCTGGAAACAAGGGTCACAGAGGAGCCAGTCATCCCCGCCCCTGCCCAGCTCCTCCAGGCCCCCAGGGTAAGCAGGGCCCTTTATTAACGCAACTATAGAAATTGTAATAACAGCGGCATAAGCCGAATGCAGGTGATGTGCCAGGCCTGTGTGAATGTGCTCCATGTTTGAGCATCTCATTTAATGTTGCAGTGGCCTTGTGAAGTCGATACTATTATTGGCCCCATTTTATGGATGAAATCGGAGGCAAGTGGCAGAGCTGGGATCTGAAGCCGGGTCTAGCTGATGCCCATGCTCTGAACCACTGTGGTGTCCATTCTCCTAAGAGGACAGCCATGGCAGAGGACAAAAGGGCCGTTCAGATTGACGAGCCGTCCCATCTGGTTGGGCTGAGATGGCATTTGTACGAGGACAGTAGAATTCAACAAGTGTTGGGACAGGACAGGCATTTTGGATGGCGGAGAGAGACTAAGAGGTGTGTCCAGGAAGGAGTGAGTAAGGTACAAATCCACTTAAAAACCCAATTTTAAACACCCCAACGTGCTGACTATTTAGATTTCCCCCAGGGTAGGTGCATCAATAAAATGAATGAAAACATCTTTCTCGCAAAGCCCCACTCTCCACTCTTCTCTGCTTTATCCCCCAATCCATGCCCTTCCCCCTTTCCCACAAACTGGTTGGTAAAGCATGGGGGTGGGGGTGGGGCAGTACCTTGACTCCATCTTTAAGCCAGACACCGGGGCCCAGGTCACGGGTGAGGGTACAGGAGAGGACAGCGGTCTCTCCTTGCTGTACATCTATGTCAGCCAGGCTCTTGGAGAAGTGACCCATGGGACCTGGGGAGACACAGAGGGAGTCTGGGGGGCTGGCCACCCACAGACTTTCCCCAATGCCCAGGCTCCCAGACCATGGTCTACACTGTGCCAGTTGGGTTCAGCCAGTGCCAGCAAAGCCAAAGCTTCCATTTCTTCTCAGCAGGACATAGGCTGGCATGGGACACCTCGAATGCAAGGTAGATGAAGGGGCCCCTTGAGTCACACAGGTGGGAAGTCTGAGTAACCCACACAGAGTATTTCAACAACTCTAGTTCTTTGGACATAGGGTGTTAACACAGAGACCCAAAGACCTCTGGGCCCCACGCAGCCTGGATGCCACCTGCACAAGGAGGAGGAGGTTGCTTCCTAGATGGGAAGAGATCCCTAAAAATGGGGGGCGCTGGCAGGGACCAAGTCCTGAGGCTGGAGGCAGAACTGAGACTGACCTAGTCATTCCAGTTGCCCTGAGCTCTACCCGCCCTGGAGCCGTTCCCCTGAGAAATACTTACCTTGGGCCTTGGAGGAAGTGTCAGTGCCATGCTGCGATCGGGATCTGGTACTCTGGGTGGCATCCCTTCCCTGGCCATAGATGTCTGACCTGCCCTCCTTGTCACCTCTTCTGTGGCCAAGATGACTCGGGGGCTCCTGGCTCCAGTCTTCATACAGAGTTGCCCCTCCGCTTCCTCTGTTGTCTCCTCCCAGTGGCGGCCCTGAGCCTCTACCCTCCTCTGCTCCTCTTCTCTTTGCTGTTCCAGCCTCCACCCCTGACTGTCTTGGGGACTTGCTTCTGAGCTGTCCAGGCCTTCCATCTGACCCGTCACAGCCTTCCACTCCCCACCGCTCATAGTCCTTTAAGGCACCTGGACCTTGGGCCTTGTCATTCTCAGCCTCCAGGGACCCTCTTTCCCCTCTATGTCCTTTGTCTAGCTGAAAGCCTGGGCCCTGGATGCCCCCTGATCTGTCTACAGAGTCATTTCTGCCAAAGGGCCCATCTAGGCTATTCCAGGCTCCTTGAGGCCCCAAATCCCCAGGTTTTTGGGTGAAGCCATTCTCTCTATAAGTGGAGTCCTCCTTCTTCAGGACACCTGACTCCCCTGGGCCCATAGATCTGCCCCTTCCAGGACCTGAACCTTTGCTATCCAGGAACCCTGCGCCTTGACACCCACCAGCTCCCTCTTGGTCTGGAGAGCCCTCCCTGCCCCTGGTGCTCACTGGCCCTTCGTGGGTCCCACTGAAAGCTCGATCTTTCTCTTGCAGAGATCTGGAAGCTCTGGAACCTGGGGACTGATTCCCAGCACCTGTGCTGCCTTGGCCGAATCCCTGGTCTTCCCTCTCTAGGGCCTCAGTGTCCCCTCGTCTGTCAGCAGAACCTGACATTGATTTACTCCTTTCCCCAGGCACCCGGTTGCTGTCCAGAACCTGGCCTGTGCCCACGGCCACCCTTCTACCTTCCAGATGTGAGTCCCTACCTCCCTGAGGTGCAAATCCTCCCAGGCCATCTGCTCTACCCATGTCTGCTGTTCCTGGGCCTGCTTTCCAGAAGTCTCGTTCATGTCCAGATTCCAGAGCAGCCGTATCTGCCCAGGTCTCACCCTCTATTGCCTCCCGACCGTCAAGAAACCCAGAAACCCCCATACCCCCTGCTTGATCTGCAGATCCACCCTCCCTGCTGGGAGGCTCGCTGCCCCCAGGAGCCTTTTGGATCCCAGCAGCAGCTTGCCACTCTCTGACACCTGATTTTCCCGTGGAGCCAACAGCCCCCAGCGCCTCAGGGATTCCTGAGGTTCCAGAGCCCCCGAGAGCATTCTTGGAGCCTTGCCCATCTGAAAGACTCTGTGGCCCTCCTTGAACCCCCAGCACCCCTGGGCCCCAAGGGCCATCCCTGTATGCGGTACCGTCTGTAGCAGCTGGCACCCGGGTCATCCTAGAGCCCGGTCCTGGACCTGCCCCCTTTAAGAGCCCCATTCCTCTGTCGCCCTCTGAGCCATCTTTGGAATTTGTGCCACCATCAGATCCTTCTGACGCTGCCCAGTATCTTGACCCATGCCCTAGGGCTTCCTGGTCTCCGGGGGCACCCTCATACCCTACTACAGCCTGTGTGCCTGTTACACTGAACTTCTCTGAACCATCTCTGTAGCCCACCTCACCTTCTGATCCCATTTCTCCAGATATCCCTGAGCCTCCCCTATAATCTGCCTCATTTCCTGACCCCAGTCCCTTAGTAACCCCCAAACCATCCCTATAGCCTGCCTCACCCCCTGACCGGATTCTCCCAGAACCCCCCAAACCATCCTTATAACTGGCCTCACCCCCTGACCCCATCCTCCCAGAACCCCTCACACCATCCCCATAACTTGTCTCACCTCCTGACCCCATTCTCCCAGGACCCCCCAAACCATCCTTATAACCTGCCCCACCCCCCATCCCCATTCTCTCAGGATCCCCCAAGCCATCCCAATGACTTGTCTCACCTCCTGACCCCATTCTCCCAGGACCCCCCAAACCATCCTTATAACCGGCCTCACCCTCTGACCCCATCCTCTCAGAACCCCCCAAACCATCCTTATAACC